TGTGATAGCACAAGCCAGGCCTTGCTATGACACCCAAACTAGTTTCATCCTTTCCTGTGCAAGGTTGCTTCTACCAGGACAGGACTTGCAACACACATTACCAAGTCAGCTGGTGATGTATAAGTAAAACTGGAGGCAGTGAAGAATGGATAATCACCCAGTACAATCCCGATTAGAAAAATATTTAGCCTCTGCAAATGGCAGGGAAGAGGAATAAATAAATAAAACTTCACTGGCGCTTTATACAAAGCCAACAAAGCTCTGAGAATGCAAACCCACAGCATATGATATTGCAACATTGTCTTGTAACCTTAATACAGAAACCCACAGTAACCCCTGCTAGGAGCGTTAAATATTAATAATGGCTCCCAGCTGCTCCTGCTACATAATGGGCTTATTTTGATGAGGAAGATGTGCACAGCTTAAGGAACGTTCATCAGTTCAGATGATCCTACTTTCCTTTTGAAATTCATGCAAGACCCTCTCTCTTTGCTGCAATTAATTGAAGAACCCAGGGCTATTATTCTTAAAAGGCAAGTTTTGTCTCTGATCTTTGTCCTACATTACATCTTCTTTTTTGTCAGAGGTTGCAACATGAGCAGGGGTGGACGGTTTAGCTTGATGCACGGCTTATTACCAGAGGGTAGCCTTCTTTTTCCCTGTTCTATCCCAATTAGTGCAAATCTGCCCACACATATAGCCCACAAGGATAGCTTTTTTATTGTTCCTGAAATTAAAACATCCCTGTTCTACATCAGTACAACTATTATAAATGGTAATGTCCCTGGTGTGCATCATCATAAACATCAAAGTTAGGAAATGCTGGCTGTTACATTTAATCCTTTACTAAGCAGGTTTGAGTTTCTTTACTGGCAAAGTAGGTGATGAATAGCTGTGACCATTAACAGAATGCTTATTTAGCCAGAAGGCATTCTCTTCTCTACTTACTTTGCCACTAAATCATATGCCCACCTTAACCAGACTGACTTGGTACTGATCTCTATTTTAGAAGATTGCTGACTGTAATCTGTTGACCATATAACATCTAAAATAAATCAAGATCATGGTGCACTTACTGATCTAGATATGAATGATTTTGAATGATAAAATGGCAGCTAGATATCCAATACTAACTAGAAGTAGTCCAGACTCAAATACTGTTGGTTATTTAGAAGATTTATCATGCAATATTACCGAAAGGAAAGCTCTCATCCTCAGAACAAGTTCAGAAAGACAGAAGAGGCAGTGACAATTCCTGAACTGAAAAATTAATTAGAATTACCTTTAACCACTGCTGCATGAGTAAATATAATATTAGCTCCCATGCATCATTTCTGTCATTATCCAATTCCTGTACAATGATTCTATGTAAGAATGTAAGACTAGTATTATCTAGGTCTGAACATGTCCCCAAGGAAAAAAAAATGCAGAGAGGGACTTTGTCTTCTCCAGATTCAGCTCTAAGGAACTCTTGGGTCAGGGAAGCACTCCATAAAGCTTAGTTGAGTTTTATGAGATTAAAGCCTTCATTTCTAAAAGTATGTTTCTAGCTACTATAGCTGCAGCAATAACCTCCCAAAGGCAAAGTGAGTAACAGATGCTACAACGTCTGCAGCCACCCCTGGGACAATGACTCAGAGGAGTGAACTCCTCTGTCCCATGTGGGTCTGATGAGTGTCAAGTCCAACCCTCAGTTATGTGACTTCAATGCTTGCACTACTGATTTTAAAGCAAGAAATTATTTGGGCAAGTACAGCTCCTTGAAACTGGAAGCTACTGTGGGGAAAGAGGTCACAGATGCAGTAATAAGGAAACAGCAAAGACAGAAAAGAACAAAAAGAAAGGAAGGGGAGTCAGTAGTGCCAAGAGACTCCTTGAACAAGGAAGGTCATTATCAGCTATTAAACCAATGAACTCAAACTAATTGCCATGTAACCCTGTGCCTATCAGGAAATACCCACACATGACAATAAGCTGCTGATTCAGAGATCAGGAGGGGGAATATTGCTCCAGGGAACTGAGAATCCCAGTTATAGCAGGGACTGTTTCTAATGTGGCAAGTTTGATGTTGTGATATTGAATGCTCACACCTTGAGGGGTAGGTAAGCACTGCAAGTCCTTCCCTCCTGGGGGCTGCCAGAGGAGCTTGTTCACTGCTCTGGAGTCAGTCATGGAGCAGCCCACCCAGCTGGCAGTGTTGGCACAATGCCAGTCTGCACCACACCAGCTCCAGCCCTTTTTAGCAGGACACTGTGAAGCAAGTGAGCTCCAGCTTCTACCAAGATCAGACAGGGGGCTGGCAACTCACAACTCAGGGCCAATACACCCCAGGGAAGCTACTATTTCACAGACCAATCCATAAAGATATTTCAGTAGCCTAGACACCACATTTTAAATGGTAATGCAATTTTCTTCCTTAAAAATGAAGTGTTATTAGCAAGACACTTCTAGTTTCTTCTGTAATTCATTTTGAATGCATATTAAAGATACAGGTAAAAGATGGGATACCTAATTTAAGTTCTGGCTCAAATTTCTAACTAAATGTTTGTTTCAGAAGGTATTCACTTCATGTAGAAAAAAGGCAGACAGCTAATCAGATCAAGTATCTTGGCAACATCCCAGGATCCAAATGTCTCTCTGGCTATAATATGGATTTTGAGATAATAAACAAGCATCTCCACAATTTGCTGATGCAAGGAAAAGACAGTCCAGCAACTCCAGAAGAAAAAAAATCTCATATATCCTTGAAAAGGTTTATTACTAAAATAAATCTTTCAACATTAAAATATCCATGGTATCTTTATACTAATGCAAGGGGTGCTTCTGCTGTTCTCCGAGTTGTGACAGCTGATTTAAAGTGTATTGCACACACTTGGCATATAAAGTTTAATATAACATTAGAGGGAATAATACTGTCTAATATTAGTGCACCTTTCAAGCACATTTTCAAACTAATTGATATTGCATGTTCAACTCATTGTATCACTAATGTTACACAACATTTCCATTTTATTGAACTGCAGCTCCCCTTTACTAAAAGCCACTTTAGCTGAAGTAACTCCTCTGAGTTATTCCAGCTCTAGGCAGGCATCCAGATGTTTGCAACTTCCATTAATCAGCCGTAAGGCCAAAGCTGATCCATGGCTCCACACTGCACACACAGTAGACATTTTTAATAAATGCTGACCCGCAGCTCAGCTCTTTTGCTAGGTGGGTCACGGCTGAACTGCTGATCCAGTTCAGCAGATCAAGTTGCTTCACAAGGAATTGAAAGCACTGAGGCGTCACAGTTGGGTGATCTCCTTCTGTAGTTGATATAAACTCAATTGCACATCCCTAGGGGAGCCTCCAGCTTCCCAAACCTATTGTAGACTGCATAAAAATTAAAGTGAACCTTTTCTTGCCATCAGTTTATGGAGTCTCTTGTACTTCCCTGATCTGTCTATGCATTGCTTACAGTTCCTCTGTTCATGATTGTCACATTGGCTTCTCATGTGATAATGGGGTGTTGATGTGTCATTCCTTATCAGCAACTCGTGCATCTTGCAGGGCAGCTTTTGTATTTTCCTAATTTATGCCTGGAAACTTGTGGCCAGAGTAGCAACGTTTGTGAGCTCTGCCTGGATTTTTGCACTGTATTCCTAACAGAGACTCCATGAGTCACCCACTGAACATAATCTAAAAAACCCACAACTAGATATTATGTCAGTTGAAGCATTTTATTTTTGGAAACACTTATGTGAATACATACTGTGCTGAGGAATGCTGAGGTTATGACACGCACGTCTTTTTTGCTTAGGTTTCAGAGAGAGGTCTATCCTTCTAGGACTTCCCAGAAAAAAAATAAAATTACACCACAGTAGATGTTCCGTCTACACACTTCCCAGAATCCCAGCCTGGTTGAATTTGGAAGTGACCTTTGAGGGGCATCTTGTCCAATAGCCCCGAACACAGGCACCTAGAGCAGGTGACTTTGGACAATGCTTGGTATTTTGGTACATATTGTGCCTGTACAGGATGCACAAATGTGCACCATCTGTACGTAACACAGTTTTTGTTAGAAAGCTCCACTTCAGCAATAATGGATCAGCTTTCCAAGAAAACTTACACAGGTTTCTTGGTGGGAAGTACCCACTTAAAACACTGTCATTACATTAATTTTAATATAAAATGTTATTCCAATACCTGAAGGGACCTTACAGGAAAGATGGGACAAGATCACACAGTGACAGGACAAGGGGGAATGGGTTCAAATTGAAAGAGAGTAGGTTTAGACTAGATATTAGGAAAAAAATTCTTTACTGTAGTGGTGGGTGAGGCACAGGTGGCTGGAGGGTGAGGAGGCACTGGAACAGGTTGCCCAGGGAAGTCGTGGATGCCCCATCCCTTGTGCTGTTCAAGGCCAGGTGGAACGGGGCTCTGAGCAACCTGGCCTGGTTGAAGGTGTCCCTGCCCACGGCAGGGGCGTTGGAACAAAGCGATTTTCAAGGTCGCCTTCCAACCCAAACCATTCTGGTACAATTACACTTTCATATTTGCGCACTTATGCCCGAAGCCACTCCTTTTCACTCTCCCTTCGCATCTCAGACTCAATGACAAAATCCGCATTACTGAGACTCCAGCGGGTTGGAGTCTCCACAGCCCGCAGCGCTCTGCGCTGGCCCCTTCACAAACGGGCAAAGAGGAACGGGGAGGGCCTCTGGAGGGTTTCTGCAGAGTGACGCAGACTGCCCAGCCCAGGCCAGCCCAGCCCAGCCCAGCCCCTCGCCCTCGCTGCCCTCGCCCCCTCCTCCCCTCGCCGGCCCGGCCCGGCCCGCCCGCCGCTGGGCGGGCGCTGCCCGCGCATGCGGCCTCTCCCCGCCGGCGGGCCGCGCCCGGGGCCTCCCCGGGCCCGAGCCGGGGCCGTGTCCTGCGGTCCGCCGGGCCGGGCGGGGCGATGCCCGGGGTGATGCCCGGGGTGGCGGGGCCGCGGGACCCCGGCGCTGAGGCGGGGTGGGAGCATGGCCGAGGCGCTGCGAGCCAGAGCCGCCGGGGCGGGCGCCATCCGGAGGCCGACTGTCGCAGCGGCTCGCCCGCCACCAAGCCCGCTCGTAGGCACACGCCAGCGTGGCGCCCCGCGGCAGAAGCGATACGTGACACCGGCTGAGCGCCGGACACGCTGCAGGGCATCGCCCTCAAGTACGGCGTCACGGTAAGGGAGGGAGCGCCGCTGGCGCCGACACAGGGGCGGAGGGGCCCGGAGCGGCGCTTGGAGCCATGGAATGGTTTGGGTTGGAAGGGAGCATGAAGATCAGCCAGTTCCAACCCTCCTGCCGTGGGCAGGGGTGCCTTCCACTAGGCCAGGTTGCTCAGAGCCCCAGCCAGCCAGGCCTTGAGCGCTTGCAGGGATGGGGAGTGCAGAGCATCCCTGGGCAGCCCGGCTCCGCAGCGGTGGTGGGGCCCCGAGCCGGGAGAGGACAGCAACTTGTGCCTTAGAGCATTTCCCACTCACAGCGGGCAGGAAATGGTGTTCTCCCCGTGGTACGGCGCTGGCTTTAGTTTCGGTATTTGAAATGATGACATCTGAGTTCATGGCCTGCTCGGAGGGGTCAGCACCCGGCGAAGGGCTGAAGTTCGCACTGCCCGGCCAGGACACGGCTCCAAACTGACAAGCACCGGGATCCCGGGATGGGACAGAGGTCCCTGGGAAAGGAGACACACTTGCTTCCACCAGGAAACCTATACCCACTCAACTATTCATTACTACACTCACTTCAGATTAAAAAAGAAATTAAATTTATCTTGAAGAGAATCATTATTTTGAGCTTGACGCATAGGCTGTGACAAGGGGAAAGAATTTCTCCTGGTAGCTTCGGGGCTAAACATTCCTCCCTTGTGATCTGCCTCCCAGCCCAGAGGTGAGGCACAAGTGCCACTGGTTTGAAAGTGTTGCTTTTCTGCTTACTTTCTATGGAGAAAGAAAGTTTTTTTCTGTGAAAAATACTGAAAGGCTTATGGCAGCTGAGGACATGCAGAGTCCAGTAGGGTCTACCAGCACTACCATTCCTGACAGAGCAGAGCTCACCTACCCTGCCTTCATCTCTGCTTTTTTGGGGCCCATATACTGATAGGCATCTTCAGTAGTCCCAATATGCAGAATTGCTTGGGGCCAAGCAGCTGATGAGCATGGCACTGGTACACAGTCAGTGTTACACTCACATCAGCTGCAAACAGCACCTTCCAGTTGGCTCTTTCTAGAACAGATACAATACAGTCCCAAACTAATAGGCTCTGACTGGAACGGTTTCTTTTCCTTCTCTTGGTCTGCAAGATCTACTAAAACCTTCCATCACCTTAATAGCACTCAGCCTTTGTTGTGGAATGGGTTAAAAGTCTATTTCTCTTCCCTTTTGAAAGATTACGCCACTTTTGACCGATTCTTTTTGGCAACAGGGCTAATGACACTTTGGATTTACACTGGTCCACATTAAAATGAAGTTTTGCTCACTAAGAAGGCAAAGCAGCACATTGGATGTTTGATTTCTTTTTTGGTTTTGGCAGCACTTTCCATTATGGATAAAGTCTCTGGCCTAAATGATTTAGCCATGTTATCCCTCATTCAGAAGTGAAAAATATAAACAGATTACTAAAAGAGTAGTTTTCCAGAAAAAAAGTCATTTCTAAACAATTTAAAACCCCCTTTCAGCTAAAGTGAAGTTGTGGATCAAACCTGTACAAATAACTTTTAAGTTATGAACCATAAACTTTGTTTATAGTATGGGTTTAATAAGCTTTTGCTGTGTTGATGATGCATTTAAAGTATAAATGTTGGGGGTTTTTCCCCAACATGTCATTGGTTACTCAATTTAGTGTTGGTAAGTATTGTGCTTAAGAAACCAGAGCTGCATCATTATAGACTTCAGTTGAGAAAGGTTAATCTGACATGAAATGTCCCTAAGAGGAGTGCCAAGTTTGGTGAAATTAGCCATTGTGTTTCTGTTTTCATGGGTTTCAACCCAGGGTAGGAATGTATGCAAACGTGTTTGCTTTTAGCAAAATGAAGAACATCGTGGTTGCACACAATGACAAGGACTCACTTCCCCTAAAGAGTCATTCCATTTGCTTCCTGCATCATGTATCCTTGGCTAGGAGTGGGAGTTGCTGTAATGAAAACATCAGAATTATCTTTGGCTGCCCTTGCCTCCAGTATCACTGTTTTTAGAAGTTTCCCCTGTGGTTTTCCTCTCTGGGAGTTACTTTGTAGCAAGAGACATCCTGTCCAATGCCTGCTTTGGCATGACTTGGCAGAGACAGTGCAGGACAGATGAAAATGTCATGTTGAGGGAGAGAGATCAGTGTGCTTTGTTTGGCCTCATGCTCTACTCTTCACCCCATCCCCCAGATACTGGCTATTAATCTTTACAACTTGCCTTCATTATATCTTCCTTCTGGGTAAATTAACACTGGGAATTCATGTTTGGTATCATATTTATGGTTCAGTGCAAGTGCTGCATCTCTTTTGAGGGGAGAAGAAAGAGGACTATGTTTCACTGTCAGTAGAAGCAGTTTTAATTACTTAGTTCAGCACCAGTTTATGCATTAGTGCAGGTTCAGTTAAAGTATTAAGCACGTGCTACAGCTTTTGCTCTTTCACTGTGATAGATCTGTAGCTAACAGACTCAAGTTTAGTCTTCCTAGCACTAAAAAAAGAAAGCTCTTGTTAAATTCTGTTCTCCATAGGCCTATGAGTGTCATACTGACTTTAGGAGTTATATATTGCACATATGAATTAACCTGCTCAAGGCTGAGGGATGTTCTTTTTAGAACCAAGTACTTTCCATTTCACTGGTACTCAGTTCAGAGGTACACAGTCTTCCAAATGCCGTGAGGTGGTACTTTAGTAAGAAGTAACCAGAGGTAGAATTACAGTGAAGTAGGAGAGAGAATAGCAGTACAGTGCATTATTTATCAGCTATTGAAGCATCACCTTCCAACTCCCCTGCAGTAAAGATCTCAGTTTTCAGCTTCTGTATTGTATTAGAGAATAGCTCCAGCTAGTATTTTAAACATTTTTGACACCCATCCAGATAGACAGCTTTTAGAAATTTTAACAGTTGACATTCACACTAGGGCCATTATAAGGTCTCATGACTAAATCGGGTGAAACTTCCTTTTTGCCCTTCAGATGGTGCTCAGCTTGGGAGAGAACTTTTACCCTCTACTGTATGAGCCTAACTAAAAACAGCTTCCAAGCTTCAAGAGCTGGTAGAGAGCTTCTCTTACTTGTAGTAACTTAGTGTGAGTCACCAGATGTTAGCTATTCAGTTTTTGAAAGGGATTATTAAATCTAAGCATTTCATCATTTTAGCCATCTGCATCAACAGGTTGGGGTTATCTTTAACCAGAGAATACATTTTTTTTTTTTTTAATATTTAACAGGTAGAAGTTGCTTCCTCCTGAGCTTTACTGCACTGTTTTCACTACCTTCCCATACACCTGCCCTTTCTAGAGAGAATCCTGTTTACTTTTAGGGAGAAAGATTTTGTTAGGTTTCCAGGACCCAAGCAAATGCATCCATGCAGGACACCACTTCTATAACAGCACTGCAGCAGATATTTTAGTGCACAGTACAGGTCTACACTGCATAGAGTAGCTGACTTGAGTTCTGGAAGTGGCCACACAATCTCACATCTGCACAGACATGCAGAGTGCAGTAGGTTCCCTTGGATCCCAAAAGGTTTCCCTGCTGGTATGTTCAGTGTGAGAAATGCACAGGCATGTTTAAACCAGTTATCTGGTAGCAATGGTCTTTTGCAGTTGGGAAGGACTCCAAGTAGTGCCAAAGTTTAAGAGAGTTTAAGACTGACAAGGATAAGATGATGGAGCAATTTTCTCATCATCTGAGCACTGAACTCTAGATACTCAGACTTTGAAGCAGCAAGTGGCTAGTACTTGGAGCACTCAGCTCTGAGTGATTATGCTAGCAGCAAGACTCCTATTATGACAAGACTTAGTCTTTATTCTTATTCACTTTAGCTCCATGTAGTTCAATAAAAATAATTAACAGTTCTAATGAAAGCACAAGGTTTTTTTCTGTTCTCTTTATACTTATTTTCAAGCAAGTTTTATTTAGAGGGCATTTATCATCTGTAGTGATTGGGGATTTTCTGCTTATTACAGTCACAAGGGGACCAGAATGGTAATTTTTTTTTCCACTTAGAACTTTCACTAATGAAATCATGAATTCAGGTTATAACTGAAGCATAAAGTCACATAATCATGGATACAGAATTCTGCGCTTTTTAAAAGCTTACAGTTGAGAAACAGGAAGTTAGTTTGTTGACTTAGAAGAGAAATTTTGATGAGTTAGAACTTAAACATTTTTAGTAGGGACACAGTATAAACATTTACTGGGAGCTTTCCTTCGCCTGTAAAGCAATGGAATTCATAATAGCTTCTCAGATTAACTATGGAACAAGGGAGTTTTATGCATTAGCATCCTAAGAAAGAAGATTGCTTCTGTCACAACCTACTCATTAGTACAGGCAATCTTGGGTAAAAGTAGCATAAAAAGTATGTAGCAGGCATGTGGTGGCTGTTACCAGGCACGTTATCACACACATGAGGTTGCTGTTGAAGGTGCTGCAGATTCAGTTCACTGAACAAATGCAGCCACTGGTCTGTGCAGCTGCATGACAGTGTACAAGAGTCCCCCATTCTTTTCACTACCTGACTCCTCACTGAAAATCAGGACTTCATCTGAAGTCTGAATGTGTTACATCAGCTGGGGGGATGAGGCATATACTGCTCTTCCAGGACTTGTGTTGCTCACTGTTCATAACTAACATGTCCTAGAATCCTCAAGGTAACTTCACTACCCCTTATTTGGACTCTGCATGCTTTTACCAGAGGGTTCACCTGCAGCAGCTGCTAGCAGTTCTGAGCCTTACTGTAATATAAATCCAAATCAGCAGCACTTTTGCAACAGAAGTTTTATTCTTTGGCAGGTTGTTCATGTGAGCCTGTCTAGAGACTGGAAGACTGTTCAAGAAAAGCATCTTCAGGTAGTGCAAGACTTTAGAAAAAGCAGTGTTTTGGAGTCAAGTCTACATGAAAGAAGCTAGGATGTTAGCAAGGCTAAAACAGACCATGCACTCTGACATCACTTTGAATGCAAACAGACTCTTTCCTGAAGTCATTGCTGCTGCAAAGAAAGTATGGATTTATTATAACTAAAGGGTATTGTACTACTTCAGAAAGTTAGCCAAAACCTAATAACTTACATTTTTCCTATCTTTTTCAGATGGAACAAATAAAGAGGGCAAATAAACTGTTCACTAATGACTGTATATTTCTGAGGAAAACCCTGAATATTCCTGTTGTATCAGAGAAACCATTACTGTTCAATGGACTTAGTTCACTGGAGTCTCCTGAGAATGAAACTGTTGACAGCTCCCCTTCTTGTGATGAAGGACTAGTAACAGTTCAGGAAGAAAGTAGTTCTTCTCCCAGTCCTCAAGAGCCTGACAGTCAGCCCACTGCACCAGAAGAATTATCTGCCAAAGATTTCCTACAGAGATTGGACTTGCAGATTAAGTTATCCAAACAAGCAGCCAGAAAACTAAAAGATGACAATGTCAGGTAAATGCCTCTTTTGGTATTAAGCATGTTAATCTCACCCTGAAGGCATTTTAGTCTGGGCTGGACCCTCTTTGTGGGGCCTCTCAGACAGCATCTGCAGCTTTAGTTTGTCAACAAGTCTCTGCTATTATCACGCACCAGATACATTGAAAGCACAGCATTAGCAGGTGCCTTGTCATGGCAGTTAGAAAGGCTGCCTCACAATACATGGTTAGAGAATAGCAATAATATTTCATAAAAGCTGGAAGGGCAGTCTTCTCCAAGATGCCTTGCTGTCTAAGAGGGCAACTACTTAAACAAAGCCATAGTTTTCAGTAGGCCTACGTGGAAGCTGAATGTGTACAGCAAGGCATGATTTCATTTTTCTTCTGTCCCAAATTGCCTCATTATTGTGTAAATATGCTCCATAATGCAGTTGCAGTTAAGCTATCCTATCACCTTTCCCTGTGCAGTCTCTCCCTTTGTGGATCCACCTGTGCAGATGTCATCTTTTCTTCAGTATTTCTTCTACAGCCAGGAGCTCCCCCACATTCACTCATAGAAAAAGCAGTATTTTCTGTCCTGTCTGCCACAGTGGTTATCCCCTCACATATGTAGGTATCCCATGGAGAGCATAGAAAGACTAAGAGCAAGAGTGGACTTCAGTAGTGTTTGTTCTCCATGTCCCTGGGACAAGCTTCCTCAGCCTGGTCACAAGCAACCTCTTGGGCTGGCTCCCTACCTGTTTATTCTCTTCAGAAATCACCTCAGTGGGGGATGCTGAGGTGGCCTTTGCCATGACAATAAAAGGTGTGACTGCAGAGCACTGATATTACAAGCAACATACTTTTCACACTAAGCAGAAAGTAACCTTTCAGGAAAAATTGCTGTTGGAGGTCAGAACCTTCTCTGTTTAAACTCATCCACTTCCATTGTTACATATGAAGCCACGTAGAGCATCTGTCAAAATGTGCTGCTGCTGACTTTCAGATCATTAGATGTATGTACCTAACACGGACTAGAGGTGTTGACCCAGCAGTTAAACTGTGTGACAGGAAACCACAGTCCCTGCCACAGAAAGGCAATTACTTTAACATCCCTTCAACAAAATAACATGCTGATTTACAGAAGGAAATTCTCTCAGACCTTGCTGCCCTGTGAGCAGAGCCAATACAGTGAAAGCAACATCACACAAGTAGTGCACTGCTGCTACTAATATCCATTTCCTGTATTGCTTAAGTTACAACTTGGGAAATGGGGGCCTGGTACCACATTTCCTCCTAAGAAATAATGTTTACAGGAGAATGAGTTACTTTTCTACCTCCTGTTCAGATTTAGCAGAGAATTTTGTTAGTTATGCACAGAGCACAATTTTTGTTGGTCAGGATGCTACAGGACACATGAGATACAGAGCTGCAGGCTCTCTGCTGAGCAGGATGTTACCCAAAGCTTCTGAAGAGAAATAGCTTCCTGTGCATCTGACGAAGTCTTCACAATGTTCCCTTCTACCCCACCACATCCAGCTTTCAGTCATGGCCCACAAAAGCCATCCCTGCCTTTTCTCTCCAACACAGCTAGAAAGGACAGGCCCCTTTACAGTCAGACAGGAAGGGGCAGAGGACCAAAGTGAATGTTTATTCCTTGCAGGCAGCAGGAGTAGAGAGAGACCATTGCCAAAAGCCTTGGAGATACTTTTCAGCTATGTACCATCAGTGATGTTTCTGGACCCAGACTGGAAGGTGGCAACATTCCTTACTGTGTCCCAGCCACGTCCCAGGAGGCACCTGTTCTCCTTCCTGCCCAGACCTTTCTTGTCCCTTGCTTGGAGCAGGAAGCCTTTGAAAAATGGAGAGCCAAGATAGTAAAGCAGCCTCATGAATATGCAAGTTTTCTATTAGAGTGAAAGCCATTTATGAAGTTAAAGTGCTGTTTCCAGCTGCTCTGGCCTTCTGTATTAGGGTTGCCTTGTCAAAGCCTGCTTAGAATGTGACGCGTGCCAACCCTGCCGTGTTTCAGTGCCTGTTTGAGAGTAACAAAGGAGCACCTGAAGTTAATCTGCTGCCACCAAAAGTGATATGAAACTAAGACAACTGCAAGCAGAAGCAGACTATCGGTTTGAGAACTTAAAGAGCCATAACTTCTCACCCTACAGTGAGCCTGATCTGACTGATTGTGAGAACCACAACGTCTGTTTAATTGCTCTTTACTTTGATCGCCCTTAAGTTGCCAAGAATGCATGTGCATACATGCACTGACTCAGATTAAACCACACAAGGCTGTTTTATATAGTCAGAAACTGCCTTGTGCTACAAAAGCAGCTTAAGGTAAATTACATTCTTTAATCACAACTCTTGAAGTCACTCCTTTGAGTGCTTTCAAAGGAATAAAGTATATTAACCTCTGAAGTCAGCTACTTTCCAGCTAAAACCTCTTGCTTTTAGGTAGAAATGCTGAGGAGCACATAGTTGCAGATTTAGACTAGATACTAAACTATAATAGCTGTGCAAGTAGATAAGCATTAAAGGTGTGATCCACTGAGTTTGTGCCAGCTGCCGTTCACTGTTACAGTTTATGTAAGCACATGGATAGATCTACATGCAATACGACTTTTACTAGAGTTTCATTGAGTAAGAAATCATTAGCTAATGAATCACTAATCATGCATATTTACCCAGGATGCAGTTCAAGCAATAAAACCTTTTTGCTTTGAGCAGTGTTTTTATAATAGGCCAAAAGAAAGGTGAAAGGATTAATATAGTTGTTTGTAGCATATGTTGCTAACTCTCGTATTTGCATATTAGAGAAGAATACTCAGTTTTATCCACATGTGAAATAAAAGCAACATAATAGAAGATATGATGGTGCTTCATCTTCACAACAGCCCCAAATGCTGTTATGCTTGCTTCAGGATGTCAAAACCGAAAATAAGTTTAGTTATGCTTTTTGTCTCAGGTAGTTGAACACCAGGTGTCTAATGCAAGTCCTTAAGATTTAGGGTGGTACTGTGGTAGACCAGAACACTGAGGCCATGTACTATGCTTGTGGGACAGGTCACATCTTTCTGCATTTGCCTTTTAGTGGCTCATTTTGAAAACCTTGTAACTGAGTAGAGCCACTCTAATCACTGTTGGTTATATGAGCTGATATAAGTGGTGTCAGCACAGGAAGACAACCATATACTGTCACCTGCTCAGTTGCCTTGACCTGAGTGGAGGAAAGAGTAGGGTGTTGAAGCCTATTAACTAGCAGCTCAGATTGCTGCCTTGTCTAATTGTGCGTTCTAGAAGCATCCAAGCATTTGAGTTTATTTGTTCACACTCAGGTGTGCTTGCCCTTACAGAAGTGGTTGATTGTGCCTGATCCATACCACAGCTTGGAGGAGACTTCTTTCAGCTCCTGTATCCTACTGGGCAAAGTGGAGACAGCAAATGGGAGGAGACAGCACTGCAGTGTTTTAATGCTGTGCTGTTCCTTTTCCATTCCCTGAAGGAGAATGTTAAAGTGACTTACCACTCTGCTATTTTAGGCATCTTAAAAGTGAAGAAAATTGTTTGGTCGTTAAGCAGATACACCCTGCCATGTTGGTGCCTGTGGGCCACATAAGATTTTATTTTATATAAAGCTCAGCTTGTTTTTAAGCCATCAGAACAGACTTGTACTTGCTATGCATGGTTCTAAGATCTACATTAGTAATATTCCCTGGCCACTACTGTGGTTTGGAGTAGTGTTGCAGACCTCCCAAGCTAGTCCTGCAGCCTGAGACAGAAAGGCAGAAGGTGTTCTTGCCCACCCTTGCTGGCAGCTGCAGCAGCAGTTCCAAGCCATGGTCCGAAATGTATTTTGCACCTTACAGCCAGTCACTGCTTTGCCTCAGTTCAAGCATAACAACCTACTATAGAGTTTTTATGTCCCTGCCATGCACAGAAGCCCCTCAAAACTAGCTGTAACCCCAGTGCTTTGTGCCCTCTGCTGACATCTAAGAGCCCATAATCCACACTGCACAAGGGAAGTGGGGACAAAGAGCCTAGACAATGCTTTTGTTACTTGGATGTCTGAAGAGCTGCTAATACAACATCAGTATTTCAGTTCTTCAGTTTATATTCACCCATAATCAACTGCAGCTCATTTCAGTCCAGTGTTTGGCTGTTGCCATGTCATTATGTATGTTATTCCTGTATTAAGGCTTTCAAGAAGAATGATTGAAAGGCTGATTCTGTTAGCCTTTGATTGGAAGGAAGGTCATTTGCTGTAACACTGCCACATTTTATTCTCCTGAAAGGAGAAATATAACAAAGCTAAGCAGTACAAAGTAATTTCCAGTGTGGAGCATAGAAAATAAGTTCTCCCCCTCTGGACAGTCTGAGCTCTGAAAATGTAGTGGTTCTCCTTCATCCTCACACAAACTAACAGGAGACTGCTACTTGTAACTAAGTTCCAGGCATATGTGGCTAGAAACACAGTGCCCCAGAAGAGCATATATCAGAGCTTCAGAATACACTTTTTGAAATATTTAGCTTCAGCCAAGTAGTTATGGTTGAATTTTAGAGTCCTGCAGTCCAGTCTTACAAGTCTGGAATGTGGATAGGTTTCAGTTCTGAAAAACATTTTAAGATGTGTTGTCTTGAGAGAACTTACAAGTCTGAAGTGTTTTTAGTGTTCAACTAAAACTAAACATGTTCAACTAAACATGAATTGTTTGCTTCCTTACTTTACTGTCATGCCAGGTGTCATGGAAAGTATCTGCAAATGATAGTATTCCCTGGCAGTTTTATATGCAGCATTGATTATGTAAGGAAGGATGTTACTTAAGTGTTGTACACATGTCATCTGTATCTTAAGATCATCCCTGATACTGGTTCTGGAGCATCTTTAATGTAAACAGATGTATTTGTAAGAATGGCTAAAAATCTGTTCACAGTACTACTGTAACCACACATCCCTGCAACAACTACCAGTTTCATCCAAAACACGGGTTTTTTGAGGTTTCTTTTTTTGAAAAGATTGCTTCAAGGCAAAAGAAATATTATGCCTTTGGCTTAAGATAATACTCTTGCTGGGAAAATGAGTGCAAATTACTCAGCTGCTTGGTTAGTTTGTAGAGTTCTTCTCTCTGATTCTGTTTTGGGGGGCTGTATGAAATTTCAGTTGTAGATAAATAATCATGTTTAAAAGTTATTAGGGAAAGCATGATTAGGGTTTTGATATTGAAATATTTAATTTTTACCTCATATCATTATTAGACTATTGGAATAACTGTACCTTTGTATGAAGGCAGATACAATATTAAAAGTAATCCCTAGAAGCTCACAGTGTAGCAAATGTAGAGTCTTTCTGTTCTCACCAAAACACTAAAATTGGCAGCAGCTTTTAGACTAGACTCTCAGGAACAAAATTTTGAAGCTACAGTAGTACAAAACAATGATCTTTGGAGAACGTGGCATGCTTGAGTTAGTACTGGATGCTGCACTGCAAAAGGTTTACATAACCACTTTTTTTTTAAGGCAGTCAAGTAAACAGCAGGCAGACTGATTTTTCCTGAGGATGCTTTAATAGCAACACTATTTACCATTGTCCAGTCATTGCATTAATAAAACCACTTTGGGAGAACTAGTTTTCCTAAGAAAATCCGAGTGATGATTCTCCATGGTGATTGATGCTCAGGAGCATCAATCAGGGAGCCCACTCAAGGAATGTCCTTGCAGCAGCAAGACACAGATCCAGCTACAGCTCCTGTTCTTGCTTCATTTGGTCCATCTGTACCCCTGCCATTCAAAAGGTTGAAACAAACCTCTAACTAAACTTATTTTGTAAAATAAGAAATTGAGAGCAACAGTACAGGAATTCCATTATGCCCTCCACTTTTTTATCCTTTACAGCATTTCTTATTGATTTGGCAATGTAGTGTCAAGAATAGTACTTTCTGATGTTGTTGAACTTACACAGCTTTACTTGTGTTCAGCATTCTGTTCTTTAAACACAGTAGGAACTCTGGAGGTGTGTAATTAACAGTATTATACTGCAGGTATTCCTGTTGGGCAAGGCTGGCTTTGCTTAGTTTGACCCATTAGGAAAACTGGTTACCTGCATTTTCATTACAGCTTTACTGTTGAGACATGGTATGTTCCTGACCTGATGATTATGACCATTTTCTTTTTAGAGAGGAGGAGGATGAGGAAGGTCCCTATGCAACTTCTTCATATCACCAGTAGAAGACAGATGTGATGGCCTGAAAACTTCCCATGAAATCAGTTCTTAAAGAACTAAACAGTCAATAATTCAAAACCCAAGTCTTTTGGACTCATCATCTTGATGTACTTAAAAGAAGTCACGAATGGGTAATTGCACTGAAATGATGACCTCTTCTGCCTTCCATAGGTTAATGTCCTTATGCTATATCAACAAAGGGTTTAAGCCTTCCAAAACTAGTAATGGCCTTTCTACCCCTTCAGTGCAAACTGTAGCATGGTAGCAACAATATATCCTTGAGGTCACCTTTATGCAGGATGTTGATCTTTAGTAAAGATTTTGTAAATAATTGTTAAAGTGAAATTTGTTTTAAGTATTTAAAAATATTAAAGTTTGCTTGTAAATGACAAACTATGAAAGTAATAGGAATTTACTTATTCTGCAAACATAGGCAAGTTTGCTGTGAAAGTTTTGTCTACTTCAGGGCTGCAGAACTTGCCTCTGAACTCTGTGTGTGTGTCTGTGTGTGGTTATGATGTATTCCTAGAAAGGGGGAATTCAACTTGCTTTGATGAGTTAAAGCCTTTATGGTTAAACAACTGTTTTCAAATTGGATTTCTGCTAATACAAGGGACGAGTTACAGCCAGAGATTTTTCTTTGTGAGATATGACATTGGAATATCAGATGTGTGTTCTTGTGTGCAGTTATATTTTGTGTGGGTTTAATTTAATAAAATACAAAACCACCGATGTGTCTGTTCATAATGCAGTGAGCTTGGTCCTAGCCTGTTTTGTGTGAAGAATGGTTTGTCTAGTTGTATGAACTATTAGATACTAATATCAGGGTAAATAGTGTCCTTTACCTTTACCATATAACTCACCCTCTTCAAGGAGACCTGTAAGAGCTATTTTCTCTAGTTGTGCAGTCAAGAAAAGTATTAGGATAAGAAAGATGAAAACTATTAAGAGCCACCCTGACAAGCCTGTTCTGAGAAGAAATGCCAGTGTTCAAGTCTGCAGGTAGACCTCACCTGAAGCTCAGGAAGGCAGAATAGGCAGAATGCAGCCTGCATTCACTCTTTGCCCCAAAGTTAGTGTATTAGCAACTTCTTATTAGGCATCCTAAATTTTTTCCTCAAGTATTCGATAAGCTTCACAAAACTCCCATCATTAAAGACTTGCTGGATCCCCACTGTGACAGATGCAGTTTCCTATTTTTCTGCTCATCAATATAATTTATCATTCCCTCAAAAGCAAAACCCTTTTGCAGTACGTTAAGAGAGAAGCAATATAGAAAGTTTCATTGATTTACTAAAACCAGAAGTAAAAATTCCAAGCTTGGCAGGAATTGGTATTTCCCTAGAGCTGGCAGGAGCTCAGACCTGGCAGGCTCATTCAACTCAACTCCAGCTCTGGTCCTAAAGAGGAGGTCTGCAGTGGCACACAAATTAACAAGAACAGAGAAAGCCCAGAGTGAATAAAAGGAAGCACTGATTTTTCTTGAAGAGACTGGTGAATTAGTTTTAAGTCTTGTATCTTTCTTAAATTGAAATTTTTATTTATTCCTCACAGGGTAGTAACTTCTATTGTCAGTTAATTTCAGGACATTATGAAGCCAGAATGAACTGCTTTTCCAGAGGGAACCCTAGCTTCAAGCCCAGTTATATTTTATAATCTTACAGAAAAATTTAATCCTTTTCTGCCAAGGGCCTGCTATTGTGATACCCCACCCATCCAGCACACACAGGACCAGGGTGCTTTGCTGAGCAGAAGCGCAGCTGTCCTGGCCCAGCGAGTGCTGCCCCTCCTGCCCAGCGCTGACCGAGCTCCTGGCAGTGACACTTCACTCTGACCCTCCCAGTGGGCTGCAGAGCCTTCAGGACAAACAGTCCCTCACACCACGTACACCATTTTCCCTGACTGAGAAAGCCATAGAGAAGGGAAGGAAGGGAGGAAGCAGCTCTGCCAGCCTGAACACACCAGAGCCCCTTGAGCACACCCCCGACCCCTCAGACACAGCAGCCACACGGCAGATTTCAGCCCAGCAGTGCCCTGATAACCCACAGCACCTCTGCTCCCTGGAAACCCCTCCACACCGGCACACAACATGGCATTCGGTGCAAAACCAGTAGAGACACCCAACCCACCTGTGCCACACACCATCCTCCTGCAGGGAGGGTTTCAGGGCTGTCACTGCCCAACACAAGGGACACTTGTAAAAGCCCTACCTTGCTGCCGCCCCAGCGCTGGTCTCCACTCCTCGCCTGCCCACAGATGTCCTTCATGTGCCCCAAGTGCTCAGGGCTGGGCAGAGAAGCCCCAGCTTTTACTTCCACTCCATCTTTGGCTCTTCTAGTCCTGTTTACCAGGCCCCACAGCAGCCACTCTCCTCTGCCCTGGGCCTGTCTGCTCTTTGTGGGCAGGGTAGGAGCTCTGATGATCCTTTGGTACAGCTGAGCCCTGATGAGCCCACAGGTGGCTGGGTCTCCTCACCTGAGGGCACTCCAGCTTTTCCTTGAGCACCGATTGCACAGATTGTGTCCTGGCAGCCCCTCACAGTGTGGGCAAAGAGTACAGGTTTTCCGGTAGATAGATGTGGTGTGTCATAATCCCTAGGGCAAATATGGAGACCGACTGCCCATTTTTTAAGTAGAGGTAAAATATTTTTAGGAATTGCTTTCCTTCACTGGCGACTCATCATGGCTGCCGGCGGCTGGGCCCGGGGAGAGCTGGGCAGGCAAGAGGAAACTGCCTGGAAATCGTCTGCAATACACTCAGAGCGATTCAACGTGGAGCTTTACTACTCTCAAAAAGAGTTAAGACTCTGGAATAACTCATGTTTTAATATCTTAATCCACATTTTCATGTTATTATTTAACAAAGTGACATATCTGTCTGTACTTTCTATGTATTTGTATTTGTTACCACGTATATTTTGCTTCCCACTCTGCTTTTATGCCTGGTACACTTGTAGCTTCATTCTTTGTTTCTGTATTTCTACCAATCCTGCAAGGTGTGGTTTATGGCTGGAACAGGGCAATTTCAGGCAAAAGTGAAGCACTTAGTGCAGATAAAATTCTATGTTTTGCAGCTGTTTTGTGGTGAGGAACCTGCATGTTTGAAGTTCTGTTTTTATATATTTCTTCAATCAAAGCTTGAAAAGTCAAAACTTGGGCACGCTTGGACTAGGATCTTTTCAAATGAAATATGTGGGACATACCTCATAAAAAGTTTACATTTGGGACTCCATTGTAACGTGGCTGGAGGCTACTAAACCCCTGTAAATCTACAGCCACCAGGTTCTGTAGTTGTACCCAGCATTCTCAGAAGGGCATCCCTGCGGTGTCCCACCCCTTCCTGCATTGAGATGAACTCCTGTTGCTCCATGGTGCAGGATAGCTTAAAAAAAGCTGGGCAGTGGATAGAAAAGATGCATTCTCCTTAGCACACAACAGCAACCTTGTACTGCTTGTTGTGGTTTAACCCCAGCTGGCAGCTTGGCCCCACGCAGGCACTCACTGACTCCCCTGCAGTGGATGGGGGAGACGAGTAGGAGGGTGAAAGTGAGAAAACTCACATGTTGAGATAAAGCCAGTTTAAGAGGTAATGCAAAAGCTGTGCACACAAGCAAAGGAAAACAAGGGATTCATTCACACTTCCCATGGGCAGGCAGGTGTTCAGCCATCCCCAGGAAAGCAGGGCCCCATCCCAAGTAACGGTTATTTGGGAAGACAAATATCATCACTCTCAATGTCCCGCCCCCTTCCTCCTTCTTCTCCAGCTTTATACACTGAGCATGGTGCCACATGGTCTGGGATATCCCTGGGGTCAGCTGTGGTCAGCTGTGTCAGCTGTGTCCCAGCTTCTTGTGCACCCCCAGCCTCCTTGCTGGTGGGGTGGGGTGAGGAGCACAAAAGGCCTTGGCTCAGTGTGAGCTCTGCTCAGCAGAAACTAAAACATCTCTGTGTTATCAACACATTTGTGTTTCCAGCACAAATCCAAAACATATATTGGCTACTATGGAGAAAATAAACTCTATCCCAGCCAAAACCAGCACACTAATGTAGCTTGTAGTAAAGTGTTTAATAAAGTACAGTATCAGAAACAATAGTCTATTAGAAAAGCTCAAAAGGTGAATACCATATATATTGTACTTGTTACATTTTCAGTGATAATTTAGGAGTGAAGGATTTCTGAAGGATCCAGCAGAGATATAAACAACACAGAAACCGATTTTTGTCAGTTTAGAACCAGAGACATGCAGGTGTTGAAGATACCTTTCTCATCAGGAAGAATGCAATAATGAGATTTACTAATTATGGACTAAACACATCAGCAGGGGATGTCCAGTCCTAATGTGCTCGAAGTGTTCCCAGAAAAACAAGGACTGATCTGTAGTGCAGGTTGAAACCTGCGTCACTTGGTTTGATTTTATTTAGCACAAGTCACAGCCCCTTAAAAACGCAGGGTGATTCATCAGCCTGGCTGGGTTTTCACTGTCTAGTTCTGAAAGGTGTGATGTACTGATAGATGTTCATCCAACGTACCAGCAATGAAACCAGTATGTGAAGCATTCAAATAACAAGTTTAGTGGGCTTGGGCAGGCTGGGAAGTGAATCTAATTTGAGGAACCATAGCTGGATTGCTGGTTTATCCATCAGAGGCTTCCCTGTTCTCAGCTACTTGTCAGGTTGGTCCAATTATCTAAGTGTGTACCCCAAGTGATGCACAGCAGCAGTGTAAGAACAGTCCAAGAACATGCATACTCTGAAATACAATCAGGTCATACCCATTGTTGGGACTTTTTTTTCTCTAAATTATGTCACTGATACTTTGTTGAAGTTATAGAATTTGCAAAACTGAGAGATTAACAAATATGGCACCACCCTTTTTGTGGACACATACTGTTCATAATCACAGGTCACTTGCTGATGACATCTTCCCATTAGTACCAGACTCATGAGAGACCAAAGTAAGAAACTAACTTACAATGAAAATTGAAAATATTATTATACTACTCATTATATTGACAGGAGAAGAAAATTTGGGGTCTTTTTTAAAGTAACCATTGGGGAAGAAAAGTTTGTCCTTTTTTGTTTTTTCACATGCAGATCCTTGATCACTGCTTTAAAGGTCTACAGTTAGTTAGTTACCATTCTCCTGATTTCTTTCAAAAATCCATATTTGTGAATCAGTCTGCTTTTCCTGTGTGATAGTCACATAGGAAAACAAGTCACAAGCTGTTGCAGAACACAATTGAGATCCACAGGGACAAGAAATTTGGATCTTTGGGAACATTAGCAAATAATAATAAACAAATTAGAGGGTTTGAATGAAAACAAATACACCGATTCGAAACAACAGGAATTCTTTTCCCTAATTATTTTCTCTAGAGTTCCTAAGGGACTATTTTTTAAAGAGGAAGCTTATATTGACTACGTTTTTGGATACAGTTTTTGCCTTAAAGAAATAAATCACCATTAGTGAGTGATACTGCAGTTCAGTGATTCATATCAGGATGTGTGTGAGCCGGCAGTGACGTACTCTGTCTGCCAGAAACCATTCACTGGCTTATGTGTCATCACATAAGTTTGCAAAGAGTTGTGCTGTTATACCTCACTACCATCACATTCACTTAATATTGGTTATCAGTTGATAATTTATCAATAATCAGTTGATCATTTATGTTTTTCAGAGATTCCAGGGTTTACTTCATTGCTCAAATCTCTTCCTCCCTAATCTCCAGCTATGCTAAGAAAATGAGAAGGGAAATGACCCAAGGAAGTGTTTTAACATTTAGAGGACTTTGTGCTGTGCAGGCAGTGCTGTTAGTCAGTATCTCCCTTCACTGCAGGCAGATTCCAACCTCTGCATCAGCTGACATTTTTTAACTGTATCAATCTCAGAGATATCATAAGGTGTTTTTTAAAAAATCAGAGAGGGATAACCTCAATTATCAATGAAGAATCTGTAAGTAAAGAGAACAGGGTTTTCCTGGAGTTCATCTACACAAATAACTGCTGCAGGTGATAAGTCTCAGGACTTACATCTTCTGGAACTCAGTTTAAAATCTCCCTTTCTAAAAACTTCCTTACCTTTGATCTTGTTTTATAAGTTCTTCATATATAAAATTATCCATTCACTTAAAGACAAAAGGCCCCATAAACCATTCTTCCAAAACTATGTAAGTTCAGGAAGAAGAATGAGGGTGACATTTTTGTTTTCCTTTTTCATTGGGAAGTACCAAATTCTTGGCTAATGACAACATCTATATAAGCAAAAAAAAAAAAAAAAAAGAAAATTTACAAGATGATACTGCTCAACACAGAGCAGAGGTCAGTAAAGAGACCACAGCCTTGATATTCAGAGACACTGAGATATGATAGATCCTTTAAGTCTTTCTGAAAAGCAAGGCCCATGTTCCTAAAAACATCTCTAGTTGCAAACTTCCCTTTCCATGCAAAATAACTTGAATTGCTTTCCTTTTTTTTTTCTTTAGAGAAAGTAACAGCTATTTACACTTGCTATCAGGATACTCACATCAGGAATTCAACTAATTATGCATGCACAATCATCAAATGGTGCACCAAAGAGAATGTTCATACATGCTGAAGAAGAGAATACAGCTCTGTAATATGAAAGGCAATGGTAATGTCAAAGATTTATCAGTTAGCTAAGGACACTACAGTCCAAATTACAGGATACTACATAAAGAAATAAAAAAAGGATCAAATAAAAGATATTAAGATTTAAACACAAAATTTTTGAATATAAAATAACATTAAGATTAATGAAAACTTTAATAGGTAAATAATTTTCAAATATTTTATTTAGAGAACTATGAACTATTTTCTAATAATGCCCTTTACATAGTTGCATCTATAGAAAGCTTGTTGAGTGTGAGCAAAAAGATGTAGCATTAAAAGAACTTTCCATCAGAAACAATTGGTTGATCTACAAAAGTAAACCAAACACAAATAATAAATCAAGGAGAGCATTACAGAAATATTGACCCTATCCAATAGAAATTCACTGTCAGAATTTGGTGTTTAGGGTTGATTTGTGAATGTAGGAAAATACAGGATGCAGAGGGTGAATGGAGCACTACAGCTCTTCATTGCTGTCTAGAAAGTTGTCAGTACAATGTAAACAGAGCATTTCTAGTGATATCCTCAAATTAACAGATCATAAGTCACTGAGCCAGGAGTGGGGGAAACTAGACTAGTTTTCTACATGTCTGGCAGCCACTGACTTTTACAGGCTGCCATAGATGCGTTTAATTACATCAGCCTCCTCCTTGTCCAGGATGCCCTTGTCCACATAAGCATCAGCTTGCTGATCAATGAATTCCCTCAGCTTTGAAAGATCATAGTCTGAAAAATAAGAATTCATTTGCACAATGAGTCATTGCCATTATATTGCTTCACCTAACAGAAATGTCATTGCAAAGTTTATCCAACAAATGCACTTGATCAAACATAAAGAAAATTCACTCTAAGTGCAGCTTGTGAAAACAATAAATAAACCCAAAACACCTGCACAAAGTGCTTTTACACATCATAGTGATTTTAGTGTTCAAGAGGAATAATCATCTCTTGCTCTTGATTGATTGCTGTCAAATGCTAAAGTAAGAATATTTTCTGGTCCAGAGATTTGATGTTCTAGTCTGCAGAGCAAAACCTGTTGTTAGAACCCTATTATTTTCGCAGCTGTCACAGAATCAAAAGAAAATATTAAATGGACTATTTCTTATTGAAATCCTAGTAAAATTCCCACTTACTACAAACACTGTAGTGAAAATTCAAGAAACCAACGTCCTGAAAATAGCTCAATACAATTATTTACCTTGATAGAGAACATAATATTCTGACTTGAAAAATACTGCAGTGAGCAGTCTTTGTGACAGTGTTAGTGTCAGTTTCTGACTGACAAGTAGACTCTGCAATAGAGTACTGAAAGATCCTTCCTGCTTTTCCAGTGGATGAGTGCATCTATACAGCCAAACTCACATCATATGTGTTAAATAGGCTTTTCCCATGCTGGAAAACATCACTATTTTCCACGAAAAGAATTCTACTGCAAAGCAACCTTTCAAATAAAATAAATGGGTAACCTATTGTGTAGTTGTAACTCTGGCAACAGATTCAGTATATTCACATATAAACACAATAAAGTTTCAGTTAGCTACCTAATTTGCTGCATAAAATGTAAAGCTTAATTTGTTAGAATCAAAAATTAATTTGATAGAATCAGAAGTTAATTTGTTAGAACCCAAAGAACTTCAATGTTTTAAGGGTTCATACTAAGTTAAATGAATGAGTATCTCTCACAAGAGCAGATACATTCTGATATTTTCAGTATAAATTACTTATTCACAGATAGAGCTGTCTTTTTAGGGGTCAGTGACCAAAATTGGATACAAATAGAAAGACATTATGAAGCAAATTGATGCCTGCAATCATTTTTACAACAGTATAAGGCAATTTCAAATGAGTAATACAGAAAATTGATATTCAAAACTCCCCACTCCTGCAGAGGTGTCTTTCCATGTCTGAGTTAACAGGAATTTTGCCATTCACTGTACTGAGGCCAAGATTTCTTGTCTGGTCTGCTACTGTCATTACTTAAGAGAATGTAACCTGCTTGTCTCTCCAGCCTGTGTGAGTAATAGGGACAAACAGTACCCAGCAATTTCATAATGAGGTTCTGAGATTTCATTCACGTTGACAGAATGAGGGTCCCTGGTGAAAGATATCAAGGAATGGAAATGAATGGAAGAACAAACACTAAATTAATATGATATCCACATTATTCACATTAAAATCCCTGAGCTTATTTTACTTCTAGAATACTATTTATAACTTCAAATCATTATGTGGAAATGGGAATGTTTAATTACTAAACATTCTGTACGGGATTACAACCACCACAATATTATCCAGTTCTGGCTAATTTGTTATATATCTCATTGCAATCTAATTTGATTTCTTTTTCCTAGAAATTTATAACCTCTAATTTCTAATACTTATTTACAACCTATTGTAATTAGAAAAATCAGCTTTGGGTTATATTCACCGCAACAGCTGCAGGATTTCATTGAGCTGTGAAACAGCTACAGTAAATGAAGTGAGGTCTTATTTGCATATTCAAATCAAGCCATTTGCCATTGCAATTGATTACAGAATTTACTTTCATTCCTAAATGGCTACTCTCAGTGTTATGAAACTATAAACTGCTGAGTATTTGGTAAAAAATCCACATGTATTAGTTAAATGCCTCATTTCTGTGCTTTGGAGACCAACTGCAATAGAACACCCAGCAGCTACTGTGGGAAGCTGGTTTACACTGGAGAGGAGCTCCTCTTGAAAAGCATTTCAATCATCAAGCCAGGTCTGGGAGATACAAAGGACAGGCCCACAGAGCCTATAGACTGAAAATATGCAAACCAAACTTTGGACACAAAAGGCCATCAGCCCAAAATTCAGGCTTTTGATGTTTCTCTTTAGATCATCCCAGCCCCTCAAGTTTACCAGCCTCCTTAATAGGAAATTGATATTTTTAAACTGGGGAAATGTTAATTAACATTTCCAGGCTTATTAGTCATTGAACAAATAATAATTTCTACTGAAATTCATACAAAGATAAGGATCTACAAACATTTGCCTGAAGAAAATCTAAACCTCTTCAAGTATATTCAGTGAGTAAACCAATCCATGAGTGGGGGTGGGAAAGACTGGCCATTTTAATACACGAATTACTTTGAGAATTACTTTTCTGCCAGTTCCCAGGTGGTAGCTGGAAGTGGAGAAATGATTGATGAGCACACCAATACCACCTCATCTTGTACCAAAGAAACACACTGCAATGCATTCACAGTTAGATAAGCTTACCCTGACTGCACTTCTTTTAACATCAACCCAGGGGACCTGAAGTAGCATTTTACAAAAATAAAAAGTATGGAAAGGCACAATAAAGATGATGTATCAGAAGAGTATTCTAATTTTGTCATAATTTACGCTCACTTTAGGACTCATTTCCATTGCCAGGGGGCAATAAAGATATTTTAGTGCAAATGAAAATCCATCTAAACAGAAATGTATATCTTAATGCAGTCACAAGCAGATAAAATGCTATTGATCTGCAGTCACAGCCATTTTCAGAGTGCAGCAGTGCAGAGGTAAGGTTACTATGAAGGGGAGCGAGGGGCTGCCCAGTCAGTATGTGTGATACTGGGATATAATCACACATGACTGAGATCTAATTACCATAATGAATACACTGCTAAACAGAACCATTTATTAGAATTGGCAGGCAAACTCTTGAGCAAATATGTGTGCCTGCTGCTAATTGCCATCACTGCCACTGTGAGGAAATGATTTTAGAGATGGAAATTTTTTTTACAAGTCCTTCCTATTACAGTTTCTGTATAGGAAAATGCCTGTGTTGGGCTGTAGGCATGCACCCATGTCTGAAATGTAATTCATATACACTTCAACACACAGATTACCCAGGGCTAATCTCATCTCAGATCACCCTCTGCTCGGCTGGTGCAAAGAAGGATCCTTCTCACCAGGCGCCAGTCATAGCCCAGGGATGGGTCCCTCGGCTAGGAGCCTTCACTTCCAGAGAGGCTGATGGCAGAACACACAGCCATGGCAGAGAAAAGGGATAGGAGGCTGCTTTTATGTAAGATCTTGAGGGAAGAACTGGTATGGATAAATAAAGATCTGTGAAAAATAAGCGAGAAATCCTGCTGCTGTTCTGTTATCTCCTGCCTCCAGTGCTCACACAGCCCTGCCTCCGGGGAGGAGCCAAACGGGGGGACAGCTGGTGAGCACACCCCGTGCAGCTGCTTCAATCTCTGCTCCCTTCTGCACAGCTTTGCGTGTGAGCTACAAGTCATTCAAGTTGACTCGGGCTGTAATCCAACGTATTACATTGTGACATAAATTTGTATCTTAACTATTCTTGGTTATGAAACAAAGTACATTGCTGTTTATGAAGGCATGTTAGCCAGATGCACTGAGCTCTTCTAGACACATCCAGACGTTTAAAATACATTCCTATCACTTATAAAATCATAATTAAAAGGCATGTTGAAATAGGAGATGAAGCACTAGACAAACCTGCCACACTGGCAGACCACCAGGTCTCTGTGTTTTGTGGCCAGCAGCCATTCAAGCCAGCTTAAATTAATCTGCCTTAGTCTACTATTTTCATTCATTGATTTAACTTTGACATTTATTTAACTTTAACACACTAACTATCACCACAGACAAGCGCAGTATCACATCACTATTTTTTAACTTATAACATAATGCTAAGTCATACACCACAATATAAATGACGTGCTTTGTAATGTATAGGGTGCCCACCCCAATGTCAAGGCCTTTCACTGCATACCTTCCTTGTTACCTTGTTTATTGTGTTTTTTCAGCCATTCTATGTTCTTCCTGATTGCTTCCAAATATGCCTCAGATTTCCCTGGAGAAAAGGATGAGAGAGAATTCAGGCACTTACATCAATGATTGATGCAGCTTGCTTAACTGGGCGAAGGTGGTCACAGCAAAGGCAGATTAAAACTATTCTTAGTTTCTGTTTAAAAGCTGAGTCCTGTCAAACTTAGTCAGGCAAAATTCCCCCAGACAGCTAGAAGGTTTTGTCTGTGCAAGATTAGTCATACACAAATTTAGGATTGTGGCTTTTTTTGATCTTTATACATAGCTTTTGGTGGTATCCACACAAACTGCCTGTGTGGATTAAAGGCAGCCTGTAGCTTTTTGATCATCATTATTGTTCAGCAAAGATGAAGCTGTTGAGATAGCAAGGAATTAATTAAAACTGAGAGCTTTGAGTATCAAAACTCTTCCATACAGTAGTGCTAACAGCACATGGTAAACAAATTTCAAAATTTTGAAAGACAAGTGGAAATGTAGCTACTACATTTACTGAGAAAAGGAATGTATTAACATTACCATGATAACTCCTTGTTATAGCTGAAATTTTAAAGTGATGGCTATTTTTGGACCAGAAAGCACACAGTACAGAATTAGTTCAAGGATTACCTAATAAGGCCCCTAAGGAAATATTCCAGCTAATGGATTTTGAATTCTTAACTTGACTGGAGCTTTATTGATGTAATGTTCTTACATTTATCAGGAATAAAAACCTAGTGTGATTAGCATGTAGAAGATTACTAGTGCCAACTATGCATGTCTGCTTCTATTACCAAATGGATATAGTATTAGATATATCATATTTTTTGAGCTGGGAGTGCGGTTACTTTATAGTAAGTTACTCTGTGAAAGAGCAAAGGGCATTGCATTATGATACAAAGAACTAAATACTTATCCAATTAACATTTCTAAAAAGCTATTGGGCTGAAGGTAAAGGAAAATAACCTGAACCAAATTGGAAAGACAAATCTTCACGGACAAGCAAAATGTGTTATTTATCACTTCCCACAGGTATTGAGACAACTTTTTTTTCCTGTGAAATCAGACAACCATCTTGAGAAATTTTCCTCTTCTATGCTCAAAAAAATGACCTGCTGGAAAAAATGCCACCTTCCATCTGTGAGTGGCTGCACTGCCCACAGGACTGACCCAGGTGCCAATGCTCCACAATCCACTGCAGCCTTTATTTCTGCCATTCATGGCTGAGCAGGCTGCAGTGGACACACAGGTATTCCAAAAAGCATTAAACAGCATTGGTGCAAAATAGATAATAAGCAATTTTGTTTAGCCAACTGACTACAAAACATAGATGCTTCTGCTGGATCCTTAGCAATAAGAACTCACTGAAAGGTTTCTGCACTAACAAACATTCTCCTTCAAAAGTTCAGCACAATAAGGAGGCACAATGTCCTCTGCAGATTTGTTTTGAGATACAGTAGCTGATTTGCACCCAAGTGACTTTATCACAGTCTAATTTAGCACGTGGCATTATGTGTCATGCTGAGGCAACTGGCACAGTAACAGTACTACTGTGCTATGTTTGCTTAGGGAGACACTAACTTACTGTAACAGGTATCAGAGTTATGTAAAACAAGTTAATTGCTGATAACCCTTAACCTCTGGCAGTGAGCAATGCAAATTCTGTCACTGCAGAACTTTCCTGTACCAGCTTGTTCTAACACAAACTATAGAAACATTGGGCCCACTCAGATTATTGAATATTCTGATCATCTGATTTCACTGAAAAGCACAGATGCAAAGAAGCAAAAATCTCTCTGCACTACTGTGTCAATCTGTATTTCATATTGTTCTCACAAGGGGCTATGAATTATGGTCTTGCTCAGCAAGGGATATAGTGTCATATGTTTAAAACTGGGCAAATAAGTACACTTCCAAATCAAGCTGTTGTGTGCTGACTCCCAGTGACTCTAAGCTGAAGGTATTTATGCTAACACAAAGGAAAAACAATACCAAAGATAGGAAAAGACTCCAATCACTTGGAGCAGACACAGTAGGAAAAGCAATGGCTATTTTGTACCTCCAGTCTCTTCACTATTTCCTGCTGCATTTTGCCCTTCATTTTTTGTAGAATCCTTTGAAACTTCGTATTCCTTTTCCATTTTAGCTGCTTCTTCCTTTGTACTGTCTGCTTCTTCACTACTCTTGTCTAAAGAAATGACAAGAGCAAACAATTTTGCATCAAATATACCAAAAGCATTTCTCAATCACACCAACAATCTTTGGCAAGTAAAACATTTTGACTGATGATTGAGGAAGAGCCTCACTGGAGTCTGTCTCAAAGTGGTTTCTAAAGGTCATCTCTGCTCCAGACCTCTGGAAATTGGAATGTCTGCTTCTGCTCTTACAAACAGTAGCTGAACACAGGTAACTATGATGTGATAATACAGAGTTCATAAAGCCACATTTCTTTGTGCAGAGAAAGATTATGTGGAATTTACATTCACTAGATCCAAAGTTGACAAATAACGTTTTTTCATTCTTATGAAAAGCTTTTGTATATGTGTAATGTATGGACTCCACTGAAGAAAAAGACAGTGAGTACACTTCTCAAAGTCTGGACAATTAAGTGAAAATTTCTCTCTTGTTGTGTGTTTAGAAAACCAAACTTGGCTATAGGTCCTTGAGGGATTGTAGCTTTAAACAGTAGTCTGGATGCTACAGCAATTAGCATACTTTCAACTGAATAGATTAAAAAAATGTGTTATTCCAGGAGAGAAAATTGTAGAATAGGTACCTGCTGTTAGTTTTGTTCTGGTTTTAGTGGAAGGGTTCTCAAGCTTCTTCTTCGTCTGCTCAGCTATCATTGTATCTAAGTTTTCTGGAAAGCAAGGCAAAACAAAACCAAACCCCAGTTATTCTTCAGTGGATAAAATGCAGAATCTATACTATATGCTCCCTAGCACCAGTCTGAGTGGTAAGCAGAAACCCAAAAGAACAGCCTTCACCCTTGCCTCTGAAGGATTAATGCAGAGCCAATAGTAAAAGAACAAACAAATAGCTATATGGAATATTGATCAATCTTACTTAAAAAAAAAATAATAACTGAATCATGACAATAGGAGCACCAAATAGAGCAATATACATAAAGACAGTAAAAGTATGCATATATATTCTGTATTCCAGTCACGTAAGTCACAAACTACAGATAACTATCTGTAGCAATTTATTCTGATGAAAGCAATGAAAGGCTTTAATTAACTTCACAAAGAATACAAGACTATGAAATATGTGCTTCATCCTGCTGGAAAAACTCTATCCCAAACTGCTTATATGTCTGGATTTTATGTGGTTTCATTGGAAAAGAAGTCTAATAAAATGTTTAAAATCATACTTAGATGAAATAAATATGTAAATTGAAGTGATTAAAACAAATATTTTCCAAAGTTGCTAAAGTCAAGCATTTACTTGAAAACCCACTGGACAGTTGTAGCCATGTATACAGCTCTAGAAGACTAGAAAATGTATTTCTATGAAAATTTCGGGGCTGAACTCATCTAATTTGAAAGTAAAAGCATCTCTTCATAAAGATGGATGTTTCAGACATAAATATTGTATGCTTATGTGGGAAAAAAGTCCTTTTGATACCACAGTAGATATTCAAAATACAGATCATCATAGTATCTGCCATATTTCCTCAGTCATATTATGGACATGGTGTAGAATTTTCCTTCCCTTTATCAGCTTTTTAAAGCTTCAGTTAAACATGGATTCAAAATTTGATGCATATCAGCTAGTTGGTGGACATTTTTGAGAGACTTGGTTTTGAAATATCAAAATTCCTTTTATATGAACAGCTAAAATATTCAGTATGAGATGTGGGAACTGTGACAGAACAGACATAATAGGGCTAGTAAAAATTTTAGATCATATTCTCTGTGTAATGCCAATATTTTATCCATCAGTTGGGAGGATCCTTTTTCTTCAGAAAGATACACAGCACTGATACCTAAAAACTAGTTTTTTAGCAAACATATTTCTCTTCATGGCAGATCAGCAGAAGCAATTGTGCCTGCCATCTGATGAGAAATCACATAATCCTGTCTGCCTGAGTCCTCTATACTATGTTATTTACATAAAATTAAAATGAAAGCAGTATTTGCTGGCACCCTGCCTGATTGCACCCTCTCAATTCTACATCACATGATGGTGTTTTTGTGACAACTCTTTTCATTTTGGTATGTATCCTTTTAATGTGATTCCTGACCTTGCCATATGTCCTGAACAAAACAGGTCTGGGCTGTGTTACAAGCTGGATCAGACATACTGATGAAGAAAAAAACAAGCTAGAATTATAGTGGTGGTATTGATGCCTCACTAATCACTTGATCTAAAGCTTATGGAAAGGACCATAAACATTCCTTTCAGCTGAGCTTAAGATTCTATTTTTTTATCCTGAATCAGTACCATACTAGTATTTCAACAGGAATATAAGGATTTCTCTGTTGTAAGAGGCACAGTTTTCAGGATAAGATTATACAGTCAAGAACTTAAAAACCCTTTGTAAACTCAAGTGAATAGATTATTCTCCTTCACTAATTCATGCAAATGCAAAAATGTCACTGATTTTAGAGTTTAATCCAGCAAAATCTATTAAATTAGGCCTAATTTTAGGTCTAAATATAGCGTTTTAAAAGAAATAGGAGTATTTAAAAGTTTAAAATGTCACACATACATAAGTGCATTGATTCATAAGTGCCTTTCATGTTCTTTCTTTAAGGTGTCTGCATTTAGGCACTGCTGCAGTCAGTTTCTATTAGCAGAAAACAGAAAGACTTCACCACAAGATAGATTTATAACCTGCTTTGACAACTTAAGATTTCAATGTCTGCATACTGATATTTCCAAATTTTTTCTTCTTTTGATAAATTGTTTAAAAGTTGTGCACATATCCACATACAGCACGTGCTACTGAAGGCAACAGGATTTATACTTCTCCATTATTTAGTCACTTCTATAAATCACATCAGGAGTTCTGCAGTTTCTCTGAGCCTTTTGATCCAGCTCACAATTTTATTTGAGTTCACTCTGACTCCTTTATCAGTACAGTATTCCTTTCCAGCCATGTGCAGACATGAAGTGTAACAAGGCACCATTGACCACTAATGATCTGAGCTTTGCCACTAAAGCCAGACTGAACATGGTATCAACTGTGTTCCATTTTCAAAGCTTTCTTTTTGTCAGTAAAAATATGAACAAATTGACATGACAGGCCTTTTAACAAGGACTACACTTTACAGGAGAAATGGCGAAGCTGCCTTGCTGGCTGGGTGGCACATCAACATGGATCTGAAGATTTATAAGCAGACATATTTCCTCTGTGATAGAGAGGAGTTAATTCTGTGGGCCTCTCCATGTTTGTGGGGGTTGTTTGGTGTACCTACATAAATTTCCTAGAGAGGATATTACCACAGAGTCCCAGTTCTTCCTGAACAGGATTTATTGCCCTTTCCCCCCCCCCGCTTCAGAATTAATGCTTTAACAGCTGGTATTGTTTCAAAACATGTTTGTACTTGTCATGTGTGGTTAGGCCAGGGCTGAACAATGTTTGCTCTGAGAACCACTGATGGAGTGAGTCATCTCCTCAACTGAGATGTGCCTGGCCAGCAGCTTAGCAACTGCATGGCGTGTTCGGAGGTCTAACAAGAATTGATTACTTCTCCGGTGTTGTTTCCCTAGCAATGTCATTTGTACAGAGGAAGAGTTTAGAAAGGTACTGACCTTTCCACAGAGATGGCCACTTATTTGAAATGGCACTAATTAAAACAACAGAACAATAACCACTGAGCTAATGGAAGTGACCTACGTTGGTAAATAGGTCACTACTCTGGCGGCCGCTTTCCCGGAGCAGGATAATCTCATCACTGGAACCAGACACCCGGAGTCAGGAGATCTGGTTTCTGCCTTGCCTCACTTTCTAACTTGCTCTTTGATCTGGGATGACTCACTAAACCACTCATGCTGCAGGAGGGCTCCTATTTTGAGTAGGCATTCTCAGGCATTCTAGGCCCGGTTTCTACACACTGATAGATCCTCTTAATTGCATCTGAAAATGCAAATTCCCAGCACTTTTGAAACTCTGAAGTCCTTCAAGACGGATATCCAAAAATCTGAACTGCATAAAAGCAGAATGTTTTTCTCTGGGAGAATGCACTGTGGCAATACCCTCTAAATCCATGGGAAAAGATACTACATGAAAAAAATATTACAATTTAAATTACTTTGTTCTTATTAGAGGGGCAGAAACTAACATAACCGTTTGAATATTTAATGGAATTGGTAATGGAAGCCTGAAATGGACCCTTCTCTGTTGATAGATTCATGGTGTTTTCCAGACTCTTGTAAATTTTCCTGCAAAGGTTTTTTTCTTCTGCATAATTGTCTTGTACCCGGGAGGCAGTTTCACATTCTATCCTCATCAAATTGACTGAAGCTGAGATTTTATGTCATTCAACTTCCACAGAAAGGCCTGCTTTGCTGTTCTGTTTCCATACAGCATAAAATGACTGTTTATTAAAGCAGAAAAGGGATCATCAAGGTACCTGAGATCAATCTTAATGATAGCGAAAAAATTAGTTTACTTAATGAGTTCATACACTACAACTGCTTCAGCTGCAAAGCTTTGTGCTGACGACTGCCTGTGGGAGATGCACATATTGCAGGCATTAAAAAAGCACAGTTCTCCCAGGGCTCTTCTGTCTCCTGCAGTAGATGATCCTGAAGAGTTTGCAAGGCCTTTTTCCATCTGTGAAAAATGTCAGGACAGCACAGCATTTGCTCGTGACTATTCTGTGGGAAGAGCATAACTGATTAGTTCTTTGGACAAATCTGCCTTTCACTTTACATGATAGCAGGTCCAAGAACTGTCAATACCCACTGGATTTTCAATAGTGTAGCCAAAAGCAGAGTTAGACTTTTAGTCAGCTCATATACATATCATGCATATGTCACATAAACTGTTAAACTGTGATGAACAGGAGAAATCCCTCCATTGTGGAAATAGAGATGGGTCTGAGCCTTGCAAACCTCCTGCTCCTCTCTTACTCACTGGCTTACACGTCAAGATATGACATTTCCTTTCTGAATCTTCCTGCTTGACTGATTTGTTGAGATGGTGTGTCTGAAATCTAATGCTGCCATGAGGAATGACATGTCAGGTGACAAACTCCAGGTCACGGCATTCCTTGTAAATGGATTACAGGCAAGATGGGCAGAGTGACTTGAAATTAAAACAGCAGCAGTATCACTTAGCAATCAGGTTAAAAGCAACTCCAAAAGCAAAACATAATTAAATAGATGTGTTTTGAGGTAAAGAAAGCTCTGACCAAGTCTCCTTTATTATCCTTATTAAATTCCCTACCTCATGGACTATTTCTCAGAGTTATCCTTTCAGTATTCTCCAGGCATTTCCTTTGCATTATTCCAGGTCTGCTAGAGCTGTGTGGTGCTGTTCTTTCCTAATCCTTTCCCATCCTGAAGCTGCTCCACGGCCTGTGCACACATTTATGTTTTGATAGCATACCCTTTATAACATGATGGTTTGGGACTGAAGCAGCACAGAGCTGCCTCTCCTGCAGGAGTGGGATGTAGCTCAGTTTTGAAAGTTCAGTGACACCCTCTTTACCCTGCACCCACATAATCATCTCAAATCAGAACTTATGGGCTCAGTGCTCAGCTGTCAACAGAGACATACTGAATTCAGAAAGTGGGGGATTTTATGCAGCTATTAAATACAGTGCAAAAAAATAAAAGCATTGCCCTCCTTTAGAAACATAAACCACCTGGTAGGATGCAAAAGCTAGATTTTCAGGAACTAAGGAA